TGTAAATGGTCCCACGACTAAAATGTTTTGTAATGAATATATCCTAGTGCTGGCTCATGTGTCTTTCTAAACCAATTCATTGGTATCAATTACCAAAGTTCATACTACTGATTATTGGCCTGCGGTGGTTTCTTAAAGTGAATCTCTGGCCACATATTGCACATGTGAGGTATGGTAAGTGAGAGAGAAGTATAGTGTTAGTAGCTTAAATTGTGGCACATCATAACAAATTGTAAAAAGTATCCCTACAGTTATTAACACCTTTTATTTTTTTTTCTTGTACCTGGAGAAGTTTTTGGGGATCTCCCCTGCGACCTGGTCTGTGACCAGTCCTCGCAGTGGATCAGGGCCTGACCAACCAGGCTCTTACTGCTGGCCGCATGTAAACTGACGTATGAACCACACCCCGGCTGATCTGAGCATTACATTTAAATTTTTTGTTGACAGACCATGGAATTTCCCCTCATTTTTTTCTTACTTTGATCACATTAATTCTGATATCTAATTGGGGACATGTTTTGTTTCAAAAAATTATGCAGAATGTTTTTTTCATTATTAAGGGTGAGTTTATTGGTAACCATCCAGGTGTAGACTGGCTTTAGTTGAGTGTTATATGTAGTGCTTAATATCATGAATCAGAGCCAGATGGTATGATACACTGTTGTGTCATCAGCAATGAGTACAGGTTTCAGATGTTGGGTAGCATTTGGCAGGTTATTAATATAGATGATGAAAAGAAGATGGTCCAGGATGCCATACAGTGAAACATATAAATTAATTGCTAGGGTACTTGAAGAAGTGTTGTTTATGTCTACAAGCTGGTCTCTCTTACTGAGCAATGATTCAAAATTCTTGTACATGTGCCTTCTGAGTTTATAGTGATTTAGCTTGGGTAGAAGAATCTTGTGGTTAACAGTATCAAAAGCCTTTTATAAATTGTTAAAATGTCCTGTTAGGCATTATTATACTGACATTTGTGGGTTTTTTAAGATCTGAGTCCAAACTGACTAGGTGTGAGCATATGGTGTCTGGTTAGGTATGTGTACAGCTGTTTGCGAATTACTTTTTCAAATAACTTTGATAATATTGGACCATGTGGAATGTCTGTAAAGGTTTGTGCTTTATGTTCTGGTTTCATTGTTTACTTAGGCTAGGTAGGAAGTGTTATCCATGATGCACAGTGCTCACTCACCTGGTCATAGATTTTTTTTCAAAGGCATGAAGAGGTTGGAGGAGACAAACAGTTATGCTTAGGTCAAAAATACTGGCAGGTGGCATATTTAAAGGCACAAAAAATGTGCCTACTAGTAGGCTGGACACAGTTAATAGGTTAAAACTCCTTTTTTTCCTTTCCCTTTCTTTTTCGTTCCTATGTAATATGGGTGCACAAACCTGCTGGATGCTCCAGCCTCTGCAACTCAAAGCTTCCATCCAACCATTCCTGGAACAACCCCTACCTCACCTTCCTTTCACCTCAGATTTGTACACCCTCTTCACACTATCCCTCTTCATCCTCTCTACATGTCTTAACCACCTCAACAACCTCTCTTCAGCCCTCTGAATTATACCCTTGGAGGCCCCATGTTGCCTTTTAATTACTATGTTCCAAATTCTCTATATTATTCACACCACACATCACTCAATACAAAACATCTCCACTACCTCTAGCCTCCTTGCTGCAGTGTTTAAAACCCATTCCTCACACCAGTATAAAAGTGTAGGCACTACTATACACTGGTACATTCCTTTTTTTGGCCTCCATAGATAAACTTCAGTGTTTCCACAGATGCCTCAACACACCACCCATCTTTTTTCCCCCCCTCATCTATTATATGGTTCATCTCTTCTTTCATAGACCCATTTGCTGACATGTCTATTCCCAATGCATTTGCATTCACTTCCTCCATACTCCATTTTTAAAATCTAATATTAAATCTATCATAGCATGAGCTTTTTTGCTACCTTCATCACCTTGTTCTCTTCTATGTTCATTTTTAATTTCCTTCTTTTACATACCCTTCCAAATTTGAACAGCTACCTTTGCAACTTGTCAGAATCCCCTGGCAAGAGCTGTGTCATCAGCCAAGAGCAAATTTGATAACTCCAGTTGTGTATCATATCCAAAATCTTTTAATCCCAAACGAGTGAACCATCAAAACCATCTGCAAGTTTAGACTAATTGACAGCAAAGAACTGGCAAGAATAATATTTATTTTTACAAGTATGTACTTGATGCAACTTGTAGAGGCCTAGCTGACATCACTGACATACTATATAGAAAGCCCCTTGTTATGCAGAGCATTTTAGGCAAGTTGGGTTAATTTTGTTCCCCCAGGATGTGACCCACAACAGTTGACTAACACTCGGGTACATACTTACTGCTAGGTGAACTTGGACAGCAAGTGTCTTGAGGAAGCACGCTCCAGTGTTTCTACCCGTACCTGGGCTTGAACCACAGACCTCAGTGTGTGAACTTAGACTAACAAACAGCAAATAACTGGCAACCTGCCATATGCAAGTACAGTATGGGAACACTGGGGAGAGAACACAAGACTGTAAGAACAACTTCAGGAAGAAAAAACAAGGAGAGGATAGGTACTAAGAATCAGGTTTTCCCAAGGTGGAACCCTTCCAGAGGGGTGTCTTGATACTGGTGAAGGGCTCTTGATCCAAGGAATTGCAGCTACCCTTCCTCAGATAAAACTTGATTGCCTCTTGTTCCCAAGGTATTATATGACCTTTTTTTATTTAGTGTTTCTCCGTCATTATGATAATAAACCCGATGTGAAAGAAATATGAGCCAGGGAAAAAAAAAATTTTTGAGCAATATACTATGGAACAGTAAATTATGGAACAATATATCATGGAACAGTAAATTATGGAACAATATATCTTGGAACAGTAAATTATGGAACATATCATTGAACAGTAAATTATGGAACGATATATCGTGGAACAGTAAATTATATAACAGGGATTGAATGTCAATACCAGAAGGCAGCAATGAGGGGCGATGGTACTGGAAATCATTGACTAAACTGACAGTAGGTCATACAGCACCTGAGGAATGAGAGGTGATGAGGTTTGATTCAAGGAAGAGGAGGATATATTTCTAACTTGTTATATTAAGAACCTTTCGCCAGGGTCAGCCCACTCAGTGTTATGGTCTCCACCTACATACTTTAAGAGAACAGATAAGATTTTGTTCAGATTTTTAACCCTGGAGGGTTAGCCACCCAGAATAACCCAAGAAAGTCAATGTGGGGAAAGTCATTGGGGTCCTTAAATCTTATCCCCCAGGATACAACCCACACCAGTCAACTAACACCCAGGTACCTACTTGCTTGCTAGGTGAATGGGGACAGCAGGTGTAAGGAAATATGCCGAGTGTTTCCACCCTTGCCGGGAATTGAACCATGGACACTCAGTGTGTGAGGCGAGAGAGTTGTCTGTCAGACCATGAGACCATAAATGAACCTACATGAATTACACATTGATGTTGCATCAGTGTATTTATAAATCATAGCACATTTCAGTATATGACAATTATACAAGGATATTTTTGCCGTAAATGCTTTGTTACTTTTTTTTATGTACATATAACAAAATAATTTTATTAAAAAACAATTGGAATTTTTTCAGAATTCTGTACCTATTTTTTGGAAGTAACTGAGTATATTTTATCAGTGGAATATTCAACCACTTCAGTAAGTTTATTTTCTCTAAAAATAATAATAATGTAATATTTATAAATCTCTCGTGGGTCATTCAGTGCAGGAGGTAGTGGAGGTTCGAGCCTCCATTCATGATGCATCCAAGACATGCTAACATTGTACTCACCTACGTGTCCCTTTATTCTCCATAATCTGTGCAAAAATCCATATTTAAGAAGTACAGTATTAGGTGTTTTAACATACGTTTACCTGGATTTTCTTTGCATACCACAAGGTATCAGGTATGGGATAGTTTAATTTTATAGTATGAGAAAGTATTTCACTATCGTTTTAGCACTGCACTGGGCTAAGCTGCTAGTAGAAAGGCTGGCTGTACTACTATTACTACTACTACTACTAGTAGAGACATACATTATGCAGAACACTTGTGCCTTTGTTTTATTTATTAATTAGTTTATTTTTAATGTCCTGTAATACCCACAAGAAATGTTTGCTATATGTACAGTGCTTCTGTTCAAAATGTTCCTAATCTTATAATGTAGTCTGAAATTATGTGGTCATTCTATGATAAACATTTACTTCATCACTATTTTTCAAAAAATGTTGTTTATTCCTGAATATGAATACTTCAAAGTTAAATTATAATTTTACAATGAAACATGAATTATGTTACTAGACATCGTTCAATTAACAAGACTGTGTATCAGTATCATGTGTCATTACAGAAGGTACGAGATCACGATGGTGTCTGCACATGGTGCGATTATCACCCAGCTGACATGTACACTCTTAGATTTTTTCATGAGTTTCCTAGAATAAGCAGCATTTCATTGGCAAAACTGATTGGATTAAAATGGTTTCTTTTTCTGAATGCGGCTCACAGTATTTAGCACACTGTGGCCATTGATTAAACTCTGTACACCAGACCTGAGCTTATCATCGATAGATAAATTATAAATATTTACTAATAATAATGATGTTTCTTAATTTGACTTACTAAGCCTATTTTATAAAAAATAATATTTGAGACTATATTATATTTTTGTATTCTGCATTCACTATAGATTAAATACATTATTGTTTATTATAGCTTGAGACATTATGTATACTGTATTTGTATATTTAAATATATATACAATACAGTATTATCATCTGATTTATATACATGTATATCTTGTTGGATAGTAATACTGTACTGTAATTATTGGTGATAGCTTATGATTATCAACGGTGTTATGAGTAAAGCCTTCTGAGAATGCAAAGGCTGTGTGTTGGCAAAGCTTCACGTTTGCATTGCACGTCTCACGCTTGCACCTTGGCTTGCAGCTCTTCGGGCCTGGCTAGCAGCTCAGAAATATCCCCCGCAACCCCCGACTCCGACACCACCAGTTGGACTTGCTGGGAGCGTCGGGTTGGTCTTAGTGAGTTTGGTAACAAGGCCCGTCGCTACTGGAGCTCAGAGGAGAGTGGCTACATAGAAGGGGTTGAGACGCCCCTCGACACCTCGTTACATATACATCTTTCTCCTGTGCATGAAATCAAGTGAGATTCAGTAACAGTATAGTACACATGTTGATATCTAGTTCCTGAAGAAATGTGTGTGGAAACTAAGATAGTCAGCTCTCTTATGAAGCTCCTCCATAACACATACTATGAAGGCCGTTCCATCCAACATTCGTCTTTGGATATCTAATTACATTTATAAAACACTGCATTAGCTAGAGGAGATTTATAAAGGAACTGACTATAATCAAATTTTTTTAAATATGAAATTTGAGTACAGCCTCTCTTCATTTAACGACGGAGTTCCGTTCCCAAGACCACGTCGGTAAACGAATTTGTCGTTAAGCAAGGAGCACACTATAATGGTAGCGGGTTTGCATCAACCATCTTTGATGTTGATTTAATCTCATCTTTGCACCATTTATAACATTTTCAGTATGTTTTAAAATGTTTATACAGTAGTGTACTGTATATTGTAATAAAGAGAATAGAGAAAATCAGCTCTAATATACATTATTTAGGTATGCATACTGGTCAGAGAGCCCATCGTAAGTCCGAGTCATCAGTAAACGAGTACGTCGCTAAGTGAGGAAAGGCTGTATTTTAATTCTATATTAATAAACCAACTGTATTCTAATTATATCCTATTTATAATAATGCAGAGACTTATTATAGTTCAAATCCAGATCAAGTTGAAATAATTGCAAAATAATTAAAATATATAAATGTATGTCCAAAACAACCAGGGGGGGGGGAAAGTTGAATGATAGCTCTAGGCCTTTCATGTTGCAATCAACACATCAGGAGCTTGCAATGTAGAGGTGGTCCAAGCAGATACAATCACAGGAAGCACCTTTGCTGGAGCAAAGGCACTTTCTATCTATCTATCTCTTTTTTTTTTTTTTTTTTTTTACACAGGGTTTGAAAAGGTTAGGTTAAGGATCCCTAGCATTAATGACAAGCTATTTACAGGTTAAGGATTCCTAATTTTATTGACAGGCTATTTACAGGTTAGGGATTCCTAACTTTATTGACAAGCTAAGAGCTGTTACCTACATTAGCTTATTTGAAAGCATTTTTATTATGAAACATACAAGTAGGGAACAGGATGAAGTTGGAACTATATGTGGGCCAGAATTTTCATTTGATCAACTGACTTTATCTCGTTGACATCATAATGCTGCACGAATGTGTTCCAGACTTGACTCATCCTGGGGATAAATGATATCAGACGAAGTGATGTTCTGGAGAAGGGTACAGTTCGAGTGAAGTTGCTGCTCTCTCTCCCCCTCTTTCTCTCTCTCCCCCTCTTTCTCTTTCTCTCTCCCCCTCTTTCTCTTTCTCTCTCCCCTCTTTCTCTTTGTCTCTCTCTCTCCCCCTCTTTCTCTTTCTCTCTCTCCTCCTCTTTCTCTCTCTCTCTCTCTCTCTCCCCCTTTCTCTTTCTCTCTCTCCTCTTTCTCTTTCCCCTCTCTCTCTCTCTCGGTAGAGACGGCCAACTTGTTGAATATATATATATATATATATATATATATATATATATATATATATATATATATATATATATATATATATATATATATATATAATTTTTTTTTTTTTTTTTTTTTTTTTTTTTCAACAAGTCGGCCGTCTCCCACCGAGGCAGGGTGACCCAAAAAAGAAAGAAAATCCCCAAAAAGAAAATACTTTCATCATCATTCAACACTTTCACCACACTCGCACATTATCACTGTTTTTGCAGAGGTGCTCAGAATACAACAGTCTAGAAGCATACACATATAAAGAGACACAACATATCCCTCCAAACTGCCAATATCCCAAACCCCTCCTTTAAAGTGCAGGCATTGTACTTCCCATTTCCAGGACTCAAGTCCGACTATATGAAAATAATCGGTTTCCCTGAATCCCTTCACTAAATATTACATTGCTCACACTCCAACAGATCGTCAGGTCCCAAGTACCATTCGTCTCCATTCACTCCTATCTAACACGCTCATGCACGCTTGCTGGAAGTCCAAGCCCCTTACCCACAAAACCTCCTTTACCCCCTCTCTCCAACCCTTTCGAGGACGACCCCTACCCCGCCTTCCTTCCCCTATAGATTTATATGCTTTCCATGTCATTCTACTTTGATCCATTCTCTCTAAATGACCAAACCACCTCAACAACCCCTCCTCTGCCCTCTGACTAATACTTTTATTAACTCCACACCTTCTCCTAATTTCCACACTCCGAATTTTCTGCATAATATTTACACCACACATTGCCCTTAAACAGGACATCTCCACTGCCTCCAACCGTCTCCTCGCTGCTGCATTTACCACCCAAGCTTCACACCCATATAAGAGTGTTGGTACTACTATACTTTCATGCATACCCTTCTTTGCCTCCATAGATAACGTTTTTTGACTCCACATATACCTCAACGCACCACTCACCTTTTTTCCCTCATCAATTCTATGATTAACCTCATCCTTCATAAATCCATCCGCCGACACGTCAACTCCCAAGTATCTGAAAACATTCACTTCTTCCATACTCCTCCTCCCCAATTTGATATCCAATTTTTCTTTATCCAAATCATTTGACACCCTCATCACCTTACTCTTTTCTATGTTCACTTTCAACTTTCTACCTTTACACACATTCCCAAACTCATCCACTAACCTTTGCAATTTTTCTTTAGAATCTCCCATAAGCACAGTATCATCAGCAAAAAGTAACTGTGTCAATTCCCATTTTGAATTTGATTCCCCATAATTTAATCCCACCCCTCTCCCAAACACCCTAGCATTTACTTCCTTTACAACCCCATCTATAAATATATTAAACAACCATGGTGACATTACACATCCCTGTCTAAGACCTACTTTTACCGGGAAGTAGTCTCCCTCTCTTCTACACACCCTAACCTGAGCCTCACTATCCTCATAAAAACTCTTTACAGCATTTAATAACTTACCACCTATTCCATATATATATAATATATATATATATATAAATTTATATATATATATATATATATATATATATATATATATATATATATATAATATATATATAGATGGGGTTGTAAGAGAAGTAAATGCGAGGGTCTTGGCAAGAGGCGTGGAGTTAAAAGATAAAGAATCACACACAAAGTGGGAGTTGTCACAGCTGCTCTTTGCTGATGACACTGTGCTCTTGGGAGATTCTGAAGAGAAGTTGCAGAGATTGGTGGATGAATTTGGTAGGGTGTGCAAAAGAAGAAAATTAAAGGTGAATACAGGAAAGAGTAAGGTTATGAGGATAACAAAAAGATTAGGTGATGAAAGATTGAATATCAGATTGGAGGGAGAGAGTATGGAGGAGGTGAACGTATTCAGATATTTGGGAGTGGACGTGTCAGCGGATGGGTCTATGAAAGATGAGGTGAATCATAGAATTGATGAGGGAAAAAGAGTGAGTGGTGCACTTAGGAGTCTGTGGAGACAAAGAACTTTGTCCTTGGAGGCAAAGAGGGGAATGTATGAGAGTATAGTTTTACCAACGCTCTTATATGGGTGTGAAGCGTGGGTGATGAATGTTGCAGCGAGGAGAAGGCTGGAGGCAGTGGAGATGTCATGTCTGAGGGCAATGTGTGGTGTGAATATAATGCAGAGAATTAGTAGTTTGGAAGTTAGGAGGAGGTGCGGGATTACCAAAACTGTTGTCCAGAGGGCTGAGGAAGGGTTGTTGAGGTGGTTCGGACATGTAGAGAGAATGGAGCGAAACAGAATGACTTCAAGAGTGTATCAGTCTGTAGTGGAAGGAAGGCGGGGTAGGGGTCGGCCTAGGAAGGGTTGGAGGGAGGGGGTAAAGGAGGTTTTGTGTGCGAGGGCTTGGACTTCCAGCAGGCATGCGTGAGCGTGTTTGATAGGAGTGAATGGAGACAAATGGTTTTTAATACTTGACGTGCTGTTGGAGTGTGAGCAAAGTAACATTTATGAAGGGATTCAGGGAAACCGGCAGGCCGGACTTGAGTTCTGGAGATGGGAAGTACAGTGCCTGCACTCTGAAGGAGGGGTGTTAATGTTGCAGTTTAAAAACTGTAGTGTAAAGCACCCTTCTGGCAAGACAGTGATGGAGTGAATGATGGTGAAAGTTTTTCTTTTTCGGGCCACCCTGCCTTGGTGGGAATCGGCCGGTGTGAATAAAATATATATATATATATATATATATATATATATTGTTATCCTTAATTATACTTCCTCCTCTTTTCTGCAATATTGAAAACTCCTGATGATGTGTTAATTGCAACACAAAAAGGCCTAGAGCTATCACTCATCTCCTCCCATGGATGTTTTACATTTTGTATTGCATGTTTGTGATGTTTGTGCAATATAAGTATGTGTGTATGTCCGTATGTATGCACATTTGATTACAGTAATAAAAATCATTAAAAGAGTGCTGAGACATCAGATTACTGACTTAGAGCTCCAAGGAAGATCTTGCCTATCACAACTATAAGATCACTATAGCAAATTTACAGAAGCCTTGGAAAACAACATAACGATGTAATTGCACAGATTTTGCAAAATTCTGTGCAGATTACATAAGATAACTAAGTATAACAGGAACAGTAGGGAAATAGATATTCAGGTCTCTAACAAACAGATTAGAGAGAGAGTGGTAGTAACCTGAACAAAGTTTAGTATCAATTGTGTGAAAAAGTTCAGTACCTCAAGGTATGTCCCTAGCACCATTACTCTTTCTCAGTTCATAACATACATGTATAACTATAGAAAGAGCATGTCTCTGGCAAGAGAGTGATGGTGTGATTGATGCTGAAAGTGTTTCTTATATTTTGGGACACCTTGTCTTGGTGGGCAATGGCCAGTGTGTTAAAAAAGAAATAACACTAGCCACAGCTTCATATCATGTGCTGATGATGCTAAAATAAATGAGTCACCTCAGTAGAAGACAAAAATTCAAGAGAGATATGAACAAAGATATAAGAAGAATGAAGAACTCAAAATGAGTACAGTATAACGAACATAGGCAGACCGTGTCATAGAATGTAAGAACAGGTATGTCATTTTGATTAATCAATAAGGCAAATGCAGCAAAGGCTAGAAAAATAACAAGGTTGATTATAAAAACTTTCAAAACAAAAGAAACACTGTGAATTGTAATACTTTACAAATCACTTGTAATCTCATGACTTGAATATTGTTCCTTGCTCAGAGCATCTTTAAAGGCAGGAGAGATAGCAGAGCTGGAAAATATACACAGATTGTATACTGATTTCATAGCTTCAATAAAACATTTAAAATATTGATAATGCCTAGAAGCACTTGGATTGTTCACTCTGGAATTGAAAGAGAGAGAGATACTTGATAATGTATACATGGAAGATACTGGAGGGCCTGCACCATAACTTGTACAATGTTATAACAACTTCCCAAGTGAAAGTTATAGAAAGTGTAGAATAAGACCTGTAAAAAACAGGGGAGCCATAAGCACAATTATAAAACAAACCATCCGTGGCCCAAAACGCTTCAACATATTACCAGCAGATATCAATAATATTGCCACATTGAAGACAAATTTTCAAGAAGTTGGACAGCTTCCTGAGCAACTGGGTTATGATTGCTAAGTGGGCCTGCAGCCCACTAGCACAAACACCCTGATTGACTTGGCAGTAGCAGGAAAGCCTGGCTTTAGGCTGGGCTGCAAGGGTAAAAAGACAGGTATGTCACATGTATAGAAATTCTTGAAACTTGAAAGTTCTTGCCCTAACCATTTAAAATACCGTATAGATCAAGCTAGTCATACAGTTTGGTGCATCTAGTTTTGTTAATAAGTAAAATTAATATGAAAATAATTGATTTCAGAGAAAAAGAGGTATCATCAGAAAGCAGCAGCTCCACTCCTCTACATCGTGTTGACAACTGCAACCCTGCCATCGCTAACCAAAACATAAACAACAGTCATACTAGTGACAACAACATCAACAACAACCTCATCATGGGAAACAAGACAAGTACTGTCAACGATAATGACCCTTCTTACACCTCTGAGTTGACACCAACTCTGGACACCCACATAGCTATAGGACCAAAGATGGAACTTACGAAATATGCTACAACAGAATGGCAGGGCAACACCACAAAAGCACAAGTTATTAAACAGGTAATGAATTTATTATTATTTTTATTATTCTTAACATTATTATAATTATATTCATGGGGAAGCTCTAAATTCATGAAGGTCATACAGTGCCTGGGAGATGGGAGGCAAACCAAACCATGGGTGGGGATAGAACCCGCAATCAGAGAGTCTGATCGCAGGTTCTATTCCTGCCCGTGGTGTGGTTTGCTTGCAATCATGTCATTACGATTTTGTGAGGCAATGGGAGGCAGTAGGATTGATCTGAGGAAGTGAAGAGTAGCTAATGTTCTTTAGATCAAGAGCCCTTCAACAGTGTTATAGCAGCCCCCTTGTTGGACAGGTAAGGCAAACTGTCCTATATGAAGAATTATATATAAATACCTATCCTTCTCTGGGGATACTGACTTTGGTACTGTTTTCATAATTTATACTATTGTTATCCTTAATGACAAAATCGAAAATTTAAATGTAAAATGAAAATCTTATTAACGAGTGTCAATAATGATATGCAAAATTAATATGTTTCCTTACTTTCAGGGCTACTCTGCTATTCCTGCTGAACTTAGTTTTACTCATCTGCGGAAAGTACGAGGTGACAACTACTGTGGTGTGCGTGCTGTCCTATACCAGATGCTCTCCCTTGGCATTCCATTGCCAAGCGGTCATGTCACTCATTCCCGCCTCGCAGATGAACTCGGTCAGGGTTCAACGTGGCTGCGAGAGTGGTCGTTTGGGCATCGCCTAAATTTTAGAAAGGAACAAATACTCAGTGGATTTTGGGAATGCTTGGATACTTTAGATAGCATGGTAAGCTTTATAATGTCCACTTGAAATTAATTATGACTTACATCTGTTAAGTGTTGTTTTTGCCCACTGAAAATGATTGACAAGTATAGATATAAAATAATGGTAGCAATTCAGATTATTTATTTCAGCATGAAACAATGTTTGTACAGTGATGGGTGACATTTAGGTGTGCATGCAGAAAGCCTCTTAGAAAGTAGAGTATTTCAGGCAAACTTAAGCCTGTCTTAAGCCTAATAATGCCATAACTAATTGATTGCTTGTATATTTTTTTTTTTTTTCTTCAACAAGTCGGTTGTCTCCCACCGAGGCAGGGTGACCCAAAAAAGAAAGAAAATCCCCAAAAAGAAAATACTTTCATCATCATTCAACATTTTCACCACACTCACACATTATCACTGCTTTTGCAGAGGTGCTCAGAATACAACAGTTTTAGAAGCATATACGTTTATATAAAGATACACAACATATCCCTCCAAACTGCCAATATCCCAAACCCCTCCTTTAAAGTGCAGGCATTGTACTTCCCATTTCCAGGACTCAAGTCCGACTATATGAAAATAACCGGTTTCCCTGAATCCCTTCACTAAATATTACCCTGCTCACACTTCAACAGATCGTCAGGTCCCAAGTATCATTCGTCTCCATTCACTCCTATCTAACACGCTCATGCACGCTTGCTGGAAGTCCAAGCCCCTCGCCCACAAAACCTCCTTTACCCCCTCTTTCCAACCCTTTCGAGGACGACCCCTACCCCTCTTTCCTTCCCCCTATAGATTTATATGCTTTCCATGTCATTCTACTTTGATCCATTCTCTCTAAATTACCAAACCACCTCAACAACCCCTCTTCTGCCCTCTGACTAATGCCTTTTATTAACTCCACACCTTCTCCTAATTTCCACACTCCGAATTTTCTGCATAATATTTACACCACACATTGCCCTTAGACAGGACATCTCCACTGCCTCCAACCGTCTCCTCGCTGCTGCATTTACCACCCAAGCTTCACATCCATATAAGAGTGTTGGTACTACTATACTTTCATACATTCCCTTCTTTGCCTCCATAGATAACGTTTTTTGACTCCACATATACCTCAATGCACCACTCACCTTTTTTCCCTCATCAATTCTATGATTAACCTCATCCTCCATAAATCCATCCGCCGACACGTCAACTCCCAAGTATCTGAAAACATTCACTTCTTCCATACTCCTCCTCCCCAATTTGATATCCAATTTTTCTTTATCTAAATCATTTGATACCCTCATCACATTACTCTTTTCTATGTTCACTTTCAACTTTCTACCTTTACACACATTCTCAAACTCATCCACTAACCTTTGCAATTTTTCTTTAGAATCTCCCATAAGCACAGTATCATCAGCAAAAAGTAACTGTGTCAATTCCCATTTTGAATTTGATTCCCCATAATTTAATCCCACCCCTCTCCCAAACACCCTAGCATTTACTTCTTTTACAACCCCATCTATAAATATATTAAACAACCATGGTGACATTACACATCCCTGTCTAAGACCTACTTTTACCGGGAAGTATTCTCCCTCTCTTCTACACACCCTAACCTGAGCCTCACTATCCTCATAAAAGCTCTTTACAGCATTTAGTAACTTACCACCTATTCCATAAACTTGCAACATCTGCCACATTGCTCCTCTATCCACTCTATCATATGCCTTTTCTAAATCCATAAATGCAATAAAAAACTTCCCTACCTTTATCTAAATACTGTTCACATATATGCTTCAATGTAAACACTTGATCTACACATCCCCTACCCACTCTGAAGCCTCCTTGCTCATCCGCAATTCTACATTCTGTCTTACCTCTAATTCTTTCAATGAGTTTAATTGTTTTAAGATTGCAGGATGGATTATGATTACAGGTAATGAGGATTCTGGCATATTAACATATTCTGAACACATTCAATATATTAACCCTTTGAAAGTCCAGAGGCCAAATCTCAGAGTGACAGCCAGGGTCCAAGAATTTTCAAAAAAATTTTTTTGTTATTTCTTCTTATGAAATGCTAGAGAATCTTTTTCTGAAGGCAATAAAATAAAAAGTATGAAATTTGATGGAAAATTGAGGAAATTATGCTCTCGTGAATTTTGCTGCATCAGCAATATTTATACATTGGCGATTTTGCCAAATTTGATTCCCATTTTAGGCCAGTTACATTATTCCAGTCGTCCAAATTCTTAACTATTTCGCTACTATTACTTCTATTTTATCGATTGAGCCCAAGAAATCACCTAGTCAACTGTATCAACCACCCAATAAAGTGATCGGAAGTTAGTAATTTGGCCAATTTAACACAAAGCTCAAAATATTCCAGTTTCAAAATAGGATTCAGAATAAACAATGCAGACATTCCTGGCACTAAACTAACAGTTCCTTTGTTTATTAGTTTAGTTTTCGGGCTTTACAAATGAATTTCATTTTGATTTTTTATTCACATAATGAATTTTTATTCACACCAAAAAATAGAAGATTTACTGTTATGCAATATTGTAATAATTGTATAAATAATATCAGCACATTTGTGAACGTATATTAGACCCACCAACTGATGTGTATTAGATGCATGACATCATTTGTTTACTCTTGAACATCAGCAAAAATTGAACAGTTTTGCTATTTTGAGCTCAGTTTCAATCAATTTCACTAATAAAACCAATTAAAATGATCTCTATTTCTGTAATATATCTTTCATTCTATCAAATGAAACCAAGAAATTGTGAATACAACTGTAAAAAACATGGGGAAAAAACACTGCAAAGTCACCGTTTTAATCCAAGAATATGGTCACAGTTTTTTTCCCATTATGCACTGTGTGCTGCAGTATTTGTTTTACGTGATGCACACTTACCACATAGATATATTCTCTCATATCTTTTTTAGTTATTTATTTATTTATTTATTTTATGTCTTTGCAGACAGTACATTGAGATTTTGTATTTACAATAGTGGGTTGCAATGCAAAGAGAGCCTCTATTATGCCTAGGCATTATGGGCCAACTTAACATTATTGGCTTACAGACTACTTAACACTAGGATTATATCATAGTTGTACAGTAGGATAGTAATTATTTCATAGTTGTACAGTAGATTACACTGTATTAGTTATAAGTGAATCAAATTTGTATAAGACAAAAGATATATTCATATATTTTAAAATGCTTTTTGTGAAAACAATGATTTAATTATATTCCTGTCAACAATGGATAAAAGGCTCAAAGTGATTGTTGAAGTTATGATGTGGGAATAACATAAGTGACTATGTGTGTACTGAGTATTTAGTGTTTAGTCTAGGGTGATTAAGTGGCTTTTGAGAAGAGTCTTAAATTGATTTTCAGACCGGGTTACTTTAATATCTTCAGGTAATGAATTCCATATTTTGGGGCCCTTTATGTGCATAGAGTTTTTACACAGTGTGATATGGACACGAGGTATATCAAAAAGAGATCTGTGTCTTGTGTTGTGGTCATGTGTCCTGTTTAAGTTGGTGAGGAGAAGTTTGAATGGAGGGTTTATATTTGCATGAATTGTTCTGTGTATGTAGTAAGCACATGAATAAGTATGGATGTTCTTAATGGTGAGCAGATTCAGACCTTTGAAAATTGGCGGAGTATGCTGGCAGGAGTGGGAATTTATGATTCTTACTGCTGCTTTTTGCTGGGTTATTAGGGGTTTTAGGTGATTGGATGTTGTTGATCCCCATGCACAAATTCCATATGTAAGATAAGGGTATATGAGTGAATGGTACAGTGCCAGGAGAGCTGATTGTGGAACGTAGTACCTTATCTTTGATAGTATGCCTACAGTCTTGGAGATTTTCTTGGTGATTTGTTGTATGTGTGTCTGGAACTTAAGGCTACCGTCAAGGTGGATACCTAGGAATTTTCCCTCTGTGAGTCTTGTGACTGATGATCCATTTAGCGTTATGTTAATTGGATCATTTGCAGCTTTGTTTCCAAACTGAATGAAATAGGTTTTATCAGTATTCAGGGTAAGTTTGTTAGTCATCATCCAGGCATTGACTGTGTTTGCTAGTATGACTGTGTTTGGGTGGGAAAAGACGTATGTAGTGTCATCTGCAAATAATGTGGGTTTGAGCAGCTGTGATGCCTTCAGTAGATCATTGATGTAGATGAGAAAGAGGAGTGGTCCAAGGACATTTTCTTGTGGGACTCTTACTGTGATTGGTTGGGTGGAAGAGTTTGCATCAAGGCCCAAATTTACCACTTACAGCTTATCTGAGTGAACTGAGCTCAAGCCGTAGTTCTACGGCTTGGACCCAGGTTTCAAAGCCGTAGAACTATGGAACAGACCTTCAAAGGGTTAAATGGTTGTGGCACATCATGTGAGTTTCTTATCAGATAGATGCTTATTGAAACTGAAATTCTCTATTTCCAAATGATAAATTATTTGTACAGAAATGGATGATATTTAATAATGGACATGGAAAGTCCCTGGTTATGCAAAGTATTTTAGGTCAGTTTAAATTTAACTTAAAATTAAAAGAACAGTATACCAGGAAAAGTGTACGGTAGGGTTATTATTGAAAGAATTAGAGGTAAGACAGAATATAGAATTGCAGATGAGCAAGGAGGTTTTAGAGTGGGTAGAGGATGTGTAGATAAAGTGTTTACATTGAAGCATATATGTGAACAGTATTTAGATAAAGGTAGGGAAGTTTTTATTGCATTTATGGATTTAGAAAAGGCATATGATAGAGTGGATAGAGGAGCAATGTGGCAGATGTTGCAAGTATATGGAATAGGTGGTAAGTTATTAAATGCTGTAAAGAGTTTTTATGAGGATAGTGAGGCTCAGGTTAGGGTGTGTAGAAGAGATGGAGACTATTTCCCGGTAAAAGTAGGTCTTAGACAGGGATGTGTAATGTCACCATGGTTGTTTAATATATTTATAGATGGGGTTGTAAAAGAAGTAAATGGTAGGGTGTTCAGGAGAGGGGTGGGATTAAGTTATGGGGAATTAAGTACAAAATGGGAAGTGACACAGTTACTTTTTGCTGATGATACTGTGCTTATTGGAGATTTTGCAAAGGTTAGCGGATGAATTTGGGAATGTGTGTAAAGGTAGAAAGTTGAAAGTGAACATAGAAAAGAGTAAGTTGATGAGAGTATCAAATGATTTAAAGAAAAATTGGATATCAAATTGGGGAGGAGGAGTATGGAAGAAGTGTATGTTTTCAGATGCTTGGGAGTTGATGTGTCAGCGGATGGATTTATGAAGGATGAGTTTAATCATAGAATTGATGAGGGAAAAAAGGTGAGTGGTGCATTGAGGTATATGTGGAGGCAAAAAATGTTATCTACGGAGGCAAAGAAAGGAATGTATGAAAGTATAGTAGTACCAACACTCTTATATGGGTGTGAAGTTTGGGTTGTAAATGCTGCAGCGAGGAGGCGGTTGGAGGCAGTGGAGATGTCCTGTCTAAGGGCAGTGTGTGGTGTAAATATTATGCAGAAAATTCGGAGTGTGGAAATTAGGAGAAGGTGTGCAGTTAATAAAAGTATTAGTCAGAGGGCTGAAGAGGGTTTGTTGAGGTGGTTTGGTCATTTAGAGAGAATGGATCAAAGTAGAATGACATGGAGAGCATATAAATCTGTAGGGGAAGGAAGGTGGAGTATTGGTCATCCTCGAAAAGGTTGGAGGGAGGGGGTAAAGGAGGTGTTGTGGGTGAGGGGTTTGGACTTCCAGCAAGCGTGCGTGAGCGTGTTAGATAGGAGAGAATGGAGACAAATGGTATTTGGGATCTGACGATCTGTTGGAGTGTGAGCAGGGTAATATTTAGTGAAGGGATTCAGGGAAACCAGTTGTTTTATATAACCAGACTTGAGCCCTGGAAATGGGAAGTACAATGCCTGCACTCTAAAGGAGGGGTTTGGGATATTGGCAGTTTGGAGGGATATGTTGTGTATCTTTATATGTATATGCTTCTAAACTGTTGTATTCTGAGCACCTCTGCAAAAACAGTGATAATGTGTGAGTGTGGTGAAAGTGTTGAATGATGATGAAAGTATTTTCTTTTTGGGTATTTTCTTTTTTTTGGGTCACCCTGCCTTGGTGGGAGATGGCCGACTTGTTGGAAAAAAAAAAAAAAAACATATTTACCATATTCACCACTGGTATCAATGACATTCAAGCAATTAGATTCACTAGCTTTGTACATAGCTCTTTTGTTTTTTGTCTGACTTACAGTTATTATCGATAGCAGCGTACCCAGGTATGTTAAATACATTAGTGGAATCGTATTTCAGCTAGGTCTCAGTTAATATAATAAAGGAGAAATTGGTATTCAGAGACTAGAGCAATACTTCGTTGTGTTTGCTTAGTCATCTAGTGTTGTGATTGAAGATGCTTCAATAATTGCCTTTGTTGAGAAAATTGTTAGCAGTGTTTGTTGTAAAGTAGCTGCAGTGTTTGTCACTAAGTTGCAACATTTGGGTATATTTATTCTGGAAATGTTTCAACATCCAGAATAAAGATACCCAAATGTTGCACAAGTGTCTCATTTATCAACTTGCCAATTTTCTAAATAGTTTATTCCAAAGTAAGCTGCTGGTTGCTGTATGTATTGTTTAAGAGGTTGGGTTCAGGGTCAGTGTGTGTGTGTATGTATTAATATAGGAGGTAGTGTTAAGGTATATTGTATCTCATGAGAAGTGTGTTTGGTAAATGATCAAGGTTAATGTGTGTGTGTACTGTGTAAGTAAAAATATATAGGCAAAACTGAAACAAATATAAGAAAAACATGGTAATAAATAGAATACAATACAGTAATAAAAATAGGAAAGCCAGTGTCAATAATGACTAACAGTAACTATAGTTATTGTTAGTCAATTCTGCATATACATGTATACTTATTTGGCATAAAACAGTTACTCTGAGGAGAAAAATAAAGGAAGCAGTTCATAGAATGACATGAATATGAAGATTTTGCCCTGAAGGGAATTTTTTAAGAACTATTTTTTTTTTTCAGTGTATTCCATGATTGCCTATATAATAAATTGTTCCCTCGTGTACATCAAAAATCTGCACATATGCCATGAATCTTATGATGATGTTGACATTCAAGCTCCTCTTCTAAGTGCAGAGTTTTGATGAAGATAAGAACAGTTGCAGTTAATGTATGGTGACTTTATACTCTTCCTGCATGCTCTTTAGCAAATAAATACTTTCTTACACAAGGCGCTGAATCTTACGGGCTGTGAGAACCGGGAATGCGTCGTGTTGTCCCAGCTTAATGGAGACTCGGAGTTGGATGTGAAGCTGTGCGAGGCTGTCAAGTTGCACATGCTTGCCTCAGCGCTCGACCTCTATATCAGCAACAACAACGGAGATAATGTGCCACTCTTTGCGATGATAATGTTTGCCCGCCATTCATCACTCACACCAAAAGATCTTGTGAGAAATCATTTGAATCCAGTTGGTGATACTGCTGGCTTAGAGCAGGTGAGTAAATTCAGTTATGTAAACATAATTGAAATTTTTTTTAAATAACACAAATATATCTGAAATAAAATAACAGATCTGGATATTCAAATTCAAAATTCTAATTCAAATTTTCATTTCTTTGTTGTACCAAAAATGATGTAGTTAACATACAATAAAATATTATTAGGCACAAAAGAAAGCCTCTAGTATGCGGTGCATTTTGGGAAAACTAATCCTAATATTTAAAGGATACCTAAGAATTAGATATAGAGTGGTGGAGTTTTGTTACATGTTTAAGAGGTTGCTTAGTGGTGTTGGGAGCCTTAGCAGCAATGCTGATGTCATTACAAGGGTACTGACATCAGAAGTAGCACTGTTGCTCCTGTGTACAGGAGAGGTAAACAATTGTATTGGGCATTAAAGTGTTTGCTGGGCATCTGTGGTGGTTCATGGAGCCTGACCACAGAAATAAAATCAAAATCTCTTATTTTTTCAACACATCAGTTGTCTCTCACTGAGGCAGGGTGACCCAAAAAGAAAAACACTTTAACCATCATTCACACACAATCACTGCCTTTGCAGAGGCTCTCAGATATGACAGTTTAGATGTCACTCCAAACAGCCAATATCTCTTACATACTTCAAAATTCATTAGTTATCTTGTTGGAGGTGGACAGCACAACTCTGCAAGAAATGTCAGGTCAACCTGACAGCCCTCTATATCTTTATCAGTTGTCTCATTGCTCGAAGAGGATGTCATTTCAGATGCCCTTTCCATCATTGACATCCTGTGTGCATCCTATTGTCTGATTGCTCCCATCTTTACAGACATGCACACACTCTGCTCTCCAAACTAACATGTGTTTCATCAAACTCTGTCCACTATTTCTTCAGCCACTGTTGTTCCTTCAACACCTCTGTCACATTCTCCACCTTCATTAGTTCCCCCCAACTATGCATCATTGTATGGCTTATGTGGGTTTAGTGCCCTCCATCAATAACAATAATAGTAATAATGATATTCCATCATGGTCAATGACATTGAGCCATCTTTAATTAGGATAAATCCATAAGAAAAATTGCAAAGGTTAGTGGACAAATTTAGGAGTGTGTGTAAAGGTAGAAAGTTGAAAGTGAACATAGAAAAGAGTAAGGTGATGAGAGTATCAAATGATTTAAATAAAGAAAAATTGGATATCAAATTGGGTTGGAGTAGTATGAAAGAAGTGAGTGTTTTCAGATATTTGGGAGTTGACATGTCAGTGGATGGATTTATGAAGGATGAGGTTAATCATAGAATTGATGAAGGAAAAAAGGTAAGTGGTGCATTGAGGTATATGTGGGGGCAAAAAATGCTATCTTATATGGGTGTGAAGCTTGGGTTGTGAATGCTGCAGCGAGGAGGCGGTTGGAGGCAGTGGAGATGTCCTGTCTAAGGGCAATGTGTGGTGTAAATATTATGCAGAAAATTCGGAGTGTGGAAATTAGGAGGTGTGGAGTTAATAAAAGTATTAGTCAGAGGGCTGAAGAGGGTTTGTTGAGGTGGTTTGGTCATTTAAAGAGAATGGATCAAAGTAGAATGACATGGAGAGCATATAAATCTGTAGGGGAAGGAAGGCGGGGTAGGGGTCGTCCTCGAAAAGGTTGGAGGGAGGGGGTAAAGGAGGTGTTGTGGGCAAGGGGTTTGGACTTCCAGCAAGCGTGCATGAGCATGTTAGATAGGCGTGAATGGAGACAAATGGTATTTGGGACCTGACAAGTTGTTGGAGTGTGAGCAGGGTAATATTTAGTGAAGGGATTCAGGGAAACCGGTTATTTTATATAACCGGACTCGAGTCCTGGAAATGGGAAGTACAATGCCTGCACTCTAAAGGAGGTGTTTGGGATATTGGCAGTTTGGAGGGATATATTGTGTATTTTTATACGTATATACTTCTAAACTGTTGTATTCTGGGCACCTCTGCAAAAACAGTTATTATATGCGAATGAGGTGAAAGTGTTGAATGATGAAAGTATTTTCTTTTTGGGGATTTTCTTTCTTTTTGGGTCAATCTGCCTCGTGGGAGACGGCCGACTTGTTGAAAAAAAAAAAAAATCCTTAAGTATTATTCAGAGGGCTGAGGAGAGACTGTTGAAATGGTTTAGACACAAAGGATGGAACACAATAGAATGACTAGGAGGGCATTTAAATCTAAGGTGGATGGAAGTAGTAGTAGTAGTCATTCTAGAAAAGGAGGGGGGGTTAAGGAGTCTTTGAGTTTTAGCCCTTTCAGGGTCGACAGGCCCTCTCAGAGACTTGTTCTCAGTGTCGGCCAAATTTAAAAAAAAAAAAAAATGTCTTATGAAAAGATAGAGAATCTTTTCCCCATCATAATGACACCAAAAGTATGAAATTTGATGGAAAACTTATGGAATTATGCTCTCGCGAAGTTAGCGGTCTCGACGATGTTTACGCATCGGCGATTTTGCCCACTTTGAGCCCTATTTTTGGCCAATTACAGTGTACTTGTCGACAAAAATCATAACTATTTCTCTAGAACTCCATTTTTTCTATCAAATGAGTACAAGAAACCACAAATTTACCAATTTCAACTATCTAATACAGTGGTCAGAATTTAGCAATTTTACCAATTTCACACAAATTTCAAAAGATGCCAATTTCCGAATAGGGTCCAGAATAAACAAGGAGGACATTCCTGGCGCTAAAATAACATTTCCTCTGTTCATTAGTCACATCTCCACGCCCCTCTTACATTCTTTTGCTTTCCACTTTGAATTTTTATTCTCACAAAAAAATAGAAGATTTACTGTTATGCAGACTACTGCATTAGTGTAGAATTGGTATAAATAATATCAGCGCACTTGTGAAAGAATATTAGACTCACCAGTTGACATGTATTGGATGCATAGCATGATTTGTTTACTTTTGAACTTTGGTAAAAATCGAACATTTCTGCTACTTTGAGCTCAATTTCAAGGTACTTTTCTTTGCAAAACCAGTCAAAATCATCTCAATTTCTGTAATATGTCTTCCGTTCTATAAAATGAGACCAAGAAAACTAGAATACAACAATAAATACCTTGCAAAAATACAGTGCAAAGTCACTGTTTTAATCCTAAAACACGGTCAAAGCTTTTTTTTCTCATTACGCACTGTGTGCTGCAGGATTTTTTTTATACCGCGCACACTGACCACATAGACCCATTCTTTCATATGTAGGCCTACCAGCTTTCTCTCACTAGATTTGAGGGCGCTAGAATTTAGGCGTACTAGTATGTCAAAAACCCTGGTGCATAAGCCGTACTAGTACGGCTGAAACCCTGAAAGGGCTAGGGGTTTGGACATCGATCAGGCTTGTGCGAGCATGTTAGACAGGAGTGAGTGGAAGCAAGTGACTTTGTTTTTTATTCGATGTGCTGTTGAAATATGATCAGAGTAAAATTTATGAAGGGATTCAGGAAAGCCAGTTATCTGGACTTGAGGCCTGGGTAATGATAATGCTATATTTCTTTTAGCATACAGATAATTCAATGCACTATGGACAACTAATCATAAGGCTTACACATTACTTAAGAACTAGACATAGCATTATGCAAAACTTCTTTTGGGAGGTAGGAATTACAGTGCCTGTAATCTGAAATAAGGGTGGAGACGATACAGTTTGGTGGATCATCTGAACTGTGATATGGTGCCCTTCTGGCAAGACAGTGATTGAATGAGCTACAGTGAGTGTTTTCTTCTTTATCAGGTCACCTTACCTCAGTGGGAGATGGCTGGAGTGTTAAAACAATAAGTATACAATATTTAAATTACAATTAGGTTATTGCATCAAACAATTTAATAAAAAAATATAAACAAATGAAAGGAAACTAGCATTAATAACATGTGACTTATTGCTTAGAAAATAAGGATCCCTGTGGAACACCTAGGAGTGAGCAAAGACACCATCCTTGTTCAGCACAAAGGGGGGGGAAAAAAAACACACTTTCCTTGCTGTGCACCTAGGAGAAAGCAAAGACACTTTTCTTTCTCAGCACTTAGGAGAAAAAGACACTAAACTTGTGAAGTACATAGAAGAGTAATGTTGACTCAAAAGTTTTGTCAGTCATTATACAATATATGTATTGCTCTTTATTTAACTCATTATATGAATACCATATTAAGAGTCATTGCAAAGGTGCAAAATTTGCATTTCACAGTTTTGTATTGCTCTGTTTTGTTTGCAATAACTAACAGTTATATTTGTATAATATATAGATCCCTAAAATAACTTTTGTGGCTGTGTCTATCCATAGTGTGTTACGTGTCATGTTGTTTTGATGATTAAGCTAATAATTATGCTCTTTCCATTGGTGCTCGCATGCCTCAGGATCGGCATAAGGTGTGTAATTATCTGTAAGGTTACCTTGTACCTATCATTAATCTATGGACCTACCTTGTACCTATCATTACCCTGTGGACCTACCCTGTACTTATCATTACCCTGTAGACCTACCTTGTACCTATCATTACTCTGTGGACCTACCTTGTACCTGTCATTACCCTGTGGACCTACCTTGTACCTTTCATTAACTTATGGAGCTCCTATTTATGTGCAGTCTTGTGCATGATATATATGTGTGAGCTTGTGTATAATTTGTATGTGAATGTTTATGCACTAAAATCATTGTACCTGTTTAATTAAGCACTTTTAAAGCAAAGTTGAGAACAAGAGGCAGCCCCTGCTTTGCAAAAGTTGGGTTAATGTTAATTTGTTTGAAGACAGAATATATTAGGAAACTGAACATGTAATGAGAACCTGCTCACATCACCCTGTTAGGAAGGCAGGTCATTGTTGTCCTGGGACAAACACATGCATCAGCCAGGCTTCATTGTTCTTGGTAACCCCCAGCAACCAGCTGCCCTCCCTCAGCTGGTTGTTCAGATATTGAGGCAAACAATCCTGCTCCTCCCTTATCCTCCCACTAGCACCATACTACCTAGGTGGTGACATAGGCCTAGGAATATTAAAGTGTCAAGGCCTAGAGAAATTAAAAAGTGTCATGGTCCTGTCCAAGAATCAATCTTCAATCTCTCTCCTCCTCTCTCTCTCTTTCACCCACCTACTACCAGGCATTCCTCAAGAACTCTGAGACAGTATTCTTACATTCTTTAGCTCTCGTTTACCATCCTGTTGTGAGTGTTATATCCTTCCCCCACCTGTGTTACTGCCTTGCGGTCCCCAGAAATAGTTTTGAATATTTGGATTCATGGGGGAAATAGAAATGAGGTGTGTGTGTAGTAGGACTGATCAGGTAAGTAGTGCAGTTTATTTCAGAATGTGTTCCTGCAAAGGACTAAGTTTAGTAATGGTTTGTTTGGCAGTTATAAATGAGCATGTTGAACTTTCCTAAAACATTTGTTTTCTGAATAGAATGTATCCCTCAGTTTTTCTCTGCCTTTCTCTCTTGTTTGAGTCTGACATTCTCTCAGTGACTGAGCTCTGAATGGCTCACAGGTTAGCAAGTGAAATTGAGCAGATGTATTTGTGTTTGCTGCAGCTTAATGCATTGTCCAGCATAATATAACATGCCTTTTAGGACATAATGCCAGTAAAGTCCATCAGAAAACACTCAAAATTAAATGCTATGTTTGGTAAGTACAGGTGTATATATCTTATGTATAAAAGAAAATTTGAAGAATTATTGCTATAGTGCTGATCAAAAAGTACAGTATTTAATTACCATTGTATTGGATATTTTTGATTTGTCATCATAATAGCAGTTAGCACATTCAAGATTCCATTGAAAATACAAGAAAAAGTGTAATACAGTCATAAATTGGATTTGCTTTTTTTGTAATGAAAAATTGGCAGTAATTTTTAAATGTATTCTTAATGACTTATGAACATTTTGGTAATAGTGTAAAAGGTACTTTTGCAGCACCATGTGAAATTAAATATTAAGAATAGCACATTCACATAATTTACAGTAGTGTTAAGATACAGCATGTTAAATTTACAATGTTTTACACGTATGTTTGACTTGCAGATTGAGATGTTTCTTATGGGACATACTCTGGGAGTCACACTGCAAGTTGTTCGTCCTGCAAGCTTTGGTAAAGATGATTTTATATGTTATTATCCTGATGCTAACATTGGCATATGGCCGGAAATTAGTCTGGTTGCCGAGGATGATCGTCACTATAATGTTCTTGTCAAATGAGTGGTGAGTAACTCTTTAGATTTTCTGATGCATAAATGTCCCTTGCTTTTTTCTGTAGATGTATTTCATGATGATAGCAGGTGTAGGAAACTCACTAGACCATTAATATTAAGTTTCACTTAACAAGTCGTCAGTGCATTTTGCAGTCACACACCGATTTACATTACAAATGTAGAATTACTGGTAGGAATGGGACATCACATAATAGTGATTTTGCGAGAATTGAGGGGAAACATGGAAATAGTTTTTTGATATTATTGAGAATTTATTGTTCAGTACTGCATAAGTATTGTTTCTTTGCCATTTTCTCTCATGCCTGTTTTAAACCTAATATTTATTTAGAGCAACCAGTCTGCCTAATTACCTAGCAAGAAGAATCAATACTGTACAATAATGTATTTCTCTAACACGGGTGCTTAAGGCAGATTCTTCCTACTTGCAGTACCTAGCAAGGCTAGGTATAGTAGTAGGTTAGACTTTATGCAAGAGAATTTTATAAGGACACACTTAAGTCACATACCAATGGTTTAAGGGTATTTCCATAAATATGACTGACTAATGGCATTTATAAGGTGTGATCAAAACTTGAGCCTTCCTTCCTTAGGAAGGAAACATAGATCTACGTTCACGTGCATAGCACTCCGAACATAGATCTACATTTTTTTTACAGTTGAAAGCATGTAAAATTAAACATAGATCTACATTCAGAGTGCTATGCACGTGAACGTAGATCTACGTTTGGACAGTTCAAGGGTTAGCCTTCAGTCTGCCTCATTCTTGCCAAGATTCATTACCAAACTCAGAATCATTACAAATGTATTTATTACAGAACGGTATCCCAAAATATATCTCTATAGTAGCGTTTGTGGCGGACAACTGCTTGATACTAAACTGACCAAAGAGAGAGAGAACAGGAAGTCACTCAAGGTTATTTCTTTTCACAAGTGTTCTTGATGGATCTAAACAAGAGTCTTCTGGCAGGGCTGCATCTGCACTTGTTGTCACTTCCCTAGTTAAGAATAATAATAAATTTGTTGAGTTAGGCATAAGAATTAACAACTGGGTGTCTACACTGCAAACTGAATTGTTTGCAATCCTACTGGTGCTTTATAAAGCTAACTTATGACACTGAGCTTGACTATCATCGTTACTGATTCTTTGTCATCATTGAAGGCTCTTTGACTCGTGTAATGACTCCAACAACATGCTCAGGTATAAATACTCAAAAATCTGGAACAAAGGAATTAATGTACAATTGCTATGGATCCCAGCACACATTGGATTACTCCTTCATGATAAAGTTGATATGTTAGCCACGAAGAGTACCCAGAAGGAGAATGTAGAATATAACTTTGGTATATCTGTGTCTAGCATTAGAAATAATATTAGGAGAGAAGTAAATAATGAAAATGATTGCTATAGGAATGCAGTTAGAAGCCTGAGTAGATCTATAACCCACTATGATAACATGAACATAGATAAGTATGTTTATGGAGCAACTTGCAATGTGAACAGACTGACTGATGTTGTAGTGGCCAGGCTTAGGCTTGGTTACAAGTACTTCTGGTGGTTTGGGAGACACACAGATGATGATCAAACTAAATGCAAATTATGTGATCAGGCATATGGTCACTGTCTTGAACACTATGTGCTTAATTGTCCACTTATTTAGGAATACAGAGATAGACAGTATAATAACTTATGTGACATGTCAAGATATCTTATTACTGAAAATAAGATACCAGATATACTACTAAGCACATTTCCTAAATTTGCTTGTAACAGATAAGTGAACTGTAGATATATAGATATAAATCCATATGTGCACCTGTTAACCCTTTTGAGGCTTAGTTCCTAGGCCTTTTGTGTATCTATATGCTCTTGTGATACTGTCCACAGGATGGATATGGGGTGCATAATAAACTAGCCACTTCAGTGGCAAAGTCTAAAAATCTAATCTTGAGTTCACTGAGGGAAAACTCAGAAAACTTGACGAGCTGTTGGAGTGTGAACAGGGTAATATTTTGTGAAGGGATTCAGGACAACCGGTTATCTGGACTTGAGTCCTGGCGGTGGGAAGTACAATGCCTGCACTTTCCAGGAGGGGTTTTCGATATTTGCTTTTTAGAGTGACATCTAAACTGTTCTATCTGTGTGCCTCTGTAAAGACAGTGATGGCATGAATGATAGTGATTTTTTTTTTGTCATCCTGCACTGGTGGGAGATGGCCAGCATGTTGAGAAAAAACAACAGCAGCAATATAGTGTCCAAAGATAAATAACAAAAAAAGGCACAATACTGTGACTGGAACGATACACAAATAACCCGCACATAAAAGAGAGAAGCTTACGACACCGTTTCGGTCCGACTTGGACCATTTACAAAGTGTGACTTTGTAAATGGTCCAAGTCGGACCGAAACGTCGTTGTAAGCGTCTCTCTTTTATGTGCGGGTTATTTGTGTATAGTGTCCAAAGACACGTGTATTACATTAAGATTAAACAAGGTACAGGTGCTAGCTACTTCAAAAATTTTTTATTTGATTTGATTAAGATAGTATCTTACAGTTCTCTGTGATGAAATTTGTGTTTACAACCCATTGTAGCTCTGTGTTATGTATTGATATATGACAAATTTCTCTGATTTGATTCTTCTTTTCAGGGGTAGTGAATTCATTTTCTTCTTGAAGACAAATGCTGAGGATGTAACGACTACATTTCAACGTGATTATTTCTATTTAGCTTAATTACTGCCATTTCAGAATAGATTCTCAAGGTCGTCACTAATAAATCCGATACAGTATTCTTAAAATCTTTCTTCATAAATTGTGAAATAGGGTATTGGTATATAGATTTATGACAGCTAACTCATGAAACTGCCAATAAGACATGCAGTTCTGTGTGTGACGTTAATTTATTGAAAGTTTTTGGGAGTTCTTTGTCTTTATCTATAAGCTGAGACAAGGGTGGACGTATGTCATAAAGTAGCACTGGCATTAAGCAAACAGTCTGTTGAGATTATTCATTGAAAACACAAAAATTGTAGCAATAAAATGTTTTTTAAATAAGCTTCACTTAGTGCTGGGTCCTCTCCGGTCAGACAGTGATGTGGAATCCATAAGAAGAACCCTATACTGTGTGATTCGAGGGTGCATGTAGAATACAATGTATATAATGTTTATTGTTAGCAGTTTATTAGTTCCTATAGCATTCTGTGTATATAATAATTGTATATAACCTGTGATTGTTGAGTCAATGATTTTATCGTAGGACTTAAAAGTGGCAAAAATACATTAATTTTATCAAAAAATCATTGCTTGTATTATACGCTACAAAATGTCTGTATAAAATACATTACGCTCTGGAGATCATATATTTCTTGAAGTTTTATTTAACGATCTCCAGCTTTAAATAATAATGACAAAACAAACCCCTATTTCATAGAAAGTTGAGAAGGATTTGCTGAAGAAAGAATTGTGTGAGTCCATCGTGGGGAAATGTCACAAGTATGACCATTCCAGACCCAGTCATACACGAGGTACATCAACTTTGGTTGCTGTAAAATAGACTATAACTCGTGCTTATTTTCAAAGTCATACATTAGAGATAAAACAGGATTCTAAACATAATTCCTGATTTCTGAAGTTTGTGATACTCAACCATACTTTTAATATGAAAAAAACCCAATGTGTATATATATGAATGAGTAAAATTCATTTGGGTTTGGTAACATGCATTTCATGTATGAACGTGTAGATATAGGTTTGTACTACAGCAGGTCACAGTATTAAATCTTGTTGTCTTGAAAGTTTTCATAACATTCTGCATTACATTGGTTTGCTGCTGCATCTTGTGAAGCATACCAATGAATTTTTATTAATTTTATGCTGTGTGCATCACTTAAGACAAACCTGTATGTCCATGCTCATTTAACAGAGGAAGCATTGAAGAAAAACCATGTGAGTTATGTGTTAGAACTGGGAATGCCAGTTTTCTTATCTGTATCTTGAACAAGGAGCAGATGCTTCAACTTAAGTGTCGGGGTAAAAATATTCAGCTCCTCAAATTGTCATCATCTCCTAATGGGTTTATCCAAACAAAAACTCAACATAGATTTCATGACTACCGTAGTTGCGATAAACATTTAAAATACCAAAGAAATGCAGTGGTGATAGTATGAAAGATTTGTTTCGGGTACAGTACAGCAGTCGGAAATCATTGTAGTATAGCATGTAATTCTAATTTTATCTGTAGAATCTCATTTTGCACTAAGTTATAAAAAGAAAATACATAGAGTAATGTGATTAGGACCTGTAGACCCATCTTTGCTAATTTATTGGTATTATTAAGGCTCACTGGCATTCCTAATGTGACACAATATTCTCTTGACTGTCGGGTCATCTGCATCCAGTTTTGTAGTGCATTTTGCCTTTTAGACAGCAAATTATATTTCTACATTATTCCCACAGATATTGTGTTTGGTTTTAAGGACTGTCTTTATTTCAAGTATAATGTTTTCACATGATTAAGTTTTACAAGAAGCTGAATGTATGAGAGATGCAGGTGTTGTAACATGGAGTGTGGTACATGTCTTGGTCATTGGATGCTGATTTATTTTTTCTACCAAATTCTTTTTTTTTTTTTTTTTTTTTTTCCAACAAGTCGGCCGTCTCCCACGAAGGCAAGGTGACCCAAAAAGAAAGAAAATCCCTAAAAAGAAAATACTTTCATCATCATTCAACACTTTCACCTCGCTCATACATAATCACCGTCTGTGCAGAGGCGCTCAGACACAACAGTTTAGAAGTCCCTCCAATCTGTCAATATCCCAGACCCCTCCTTTAAAGTGCAGGCATTGTACTTCCCATTTCCAGGACTCAGGTCTGGCTAAATCTATAATAACCAGTTTCCCTGAATCCCTTCACTAAATATTACCCTGCTCACACTCCAACAGCTTGTCAAGTCCCAAAAACCATTTGTCTCCATTCACTCCTAACACGCTTGCTGGAAGTCCAAGCCCCTCGCCCACAAAACCTCCTTTACCCCTTCAACTTTTTGAGGATGGCCCCTACCCCTCCTTCCTTCCCCAACAGATTTATACGCTCTCCAAGTCATTCTACTTTGATCCATTCTCTCTGAATGACCAAACCACCTCAACCCCTCTTCAGCCCTCTGACTAATACTTTTAGTAACTCCACACCTCCTAATTTCTACACTCCAAATTCTCTGCATAATATTTACACCACACATTGCCCTTTGACAGGACATCTCCACTGCCTCCAGCCACCTCCTCGCTGCACATTTACAACCAAAGCTTCATGACTATATAAGAGTCTTGGTACCACTGTACTTTCATACATTCCCTTCTTTACCTCCATAGATAACGTTTTTTGTCTCCACAGATACCTCAATGCACCACTCACCTTTTTTTCTTCATCAATTCTGTGGTTAACCTCATCCTTCATAAACCCATCTGCTGACAAGTCAACTCCCAAATATCTGAAAACATTCACTTCTTCTATACTCCCTCTCTCCAATGTGATATCCAATTTTTCTTTATCTAAATCATTTGATACCCTCATCACCTTACTCTTGTCTATGTTCACTTTCAACCTCCTACCTTTACACACCCCAAACTCACCCACTAACCTTTGCAAATTTTCTTTATAATCTCCCATAAGCACAGTATCATCAGCAAAAAATAACTGTGTCAACTCCTATTTTGTATTTGATTCCCCATAATTTAATCCCACCCGTCTCCCGAACACCCTAGCATTTACTTCTTTTACAACCCCATCTATAAATATATTAAACAACCATGGTGACATTACACATCCCTGTCTAAGACCTACTTTCATGAGGAAGTGATCTCCCTCTCTTCTATACACCCTAACTTGAGCCTCACTATCCTCATAAAAACTCTTTATAGCATTTAGAAACTTACTACCTATTCCATACACTTGCAACATCTACCACATTTCTCCCCTATCCACTCTATCATATGCCTTTTCTAATTCATAAATAAATGAAAACTTCCCTACCTTTATCTAAATACTGTTCACATATATGCTTCAATGTAAACACTTGATCTACACATCCCCTAAAGCCTCCTTGCTCATCTGCAGTCCTACTCCCTGTCTTACCTCTAATTCTCTCAATAATAACCCTACTGTACACTAACTGGTATACTCAGTAAACTTATTCCCCTATAAGTTTTACAATCTCTTTTGTTCCCCTTCCCTTAATATAAAAGAACTATACATACTCTCTGCCAGTCCCTAGGTACCTTCCCCTCTTTCATACATTTATTAAACAAAAATACCAGCCACTCCAACACAGTATTATCCCCCCCTGCTTTAAACATTTCTGTCATGATCCCGTCAGTTCCTGCTGCTTTACCCCCTTTCATTCTACGTAATGCCTCACGCACCTCCCCACACTCACATCCTGCTCTTCACTCCTGAAAGATGTTATACCTCCCTGGCCAGTGCATGAAATTACTGCCTCCCTTTCATCAACATTTAAAAGTTCCTCAAAATATTCTCGCCATCTACCCAATACCTCCAGCTCCCCATTTACTAACTCCCCTACTTTGTAACTGACAAATACATTCGTTCCCTAGCCTTTCTTAACTTGTTTATCTCCAAAAATTTTTTCTTATTTTCAGCAAAATTTCTTGCCAGTGCCTCGCCCACTCTCATCTGCTCTCCTTTTGCACTCTCTCACCACACTCTTCACCTTTCTTTTACTCTCCATATACTCTACTCTTCTTACAACACTTCTTTGTAAAAACCTCTCATAAGCTACCTTTTTCTCTTTTATCACACCCCTTACTTCATCATTCCACCAATCACTCCTCTTTCCTCCTGCACCTACCCTCCTATAGCCATAAACTTCTGCCCCACATTCTAATACTGCATTTTTAAAACTATCCCAACCCTCTTCAACTCCCCACTACTTGTTCTTACATTAGCCCACCTTTCTGCCAATAGTTGCTTATATCTCACCTTAACTTCCTCCTCTCTTAGTTTATACAATTTCACCTCTCTTACTTGCTGTTGCCATTTTCCTTTTGTCCCATCTACCTCTTACTCTAACTGTAGCTACAACTAAATAATGATCCGATATATCCGTTGTCCCTCTATAAAGCCTACCCTGAAGCCTACCCCACCAACCTTTTATCCACTAATACATAATCTAACAAACTACTTTCATTATATGCTGTATCATACCTTGTATACTTATTACCAAACCTCTTTCTACGCATAGCTCAGTTAAAGGCTCCCCATTTTCCTTTACCCCTGGCACCCCAAATTTATCAACTACTCCCTCCACAACATTTTTACTCACTTTAGCATTGAGATCTCCTACCACAAGTACTCTCTCACTTGGTTCAAAACTCCCCATGCACTTACTGAACATTTCCCAAAATCTCTCTCTTCTCTACACTTCCCTCTTCTCCAGGTGCATAAATGCTTACTATAACCAACTTTTCACATCCAACCCTTATTATACTCCACATAATCCTTGAATTTATACATTTATATTCCCTCTTTTCCTGCCATAACTTATCCTTCAACATTATTGCTACTCCTCCTTTAGCTCTATTTGAAACCCCTGACCTAATCCCATTTATTTCTCCCCACTGAAACTCTCCTACCCCCTTCAGTTTTGTTTCACTTAAAGCCAGGACATCCAGCTTCTTCTCATTCATAACATCCACAATCATCTCTTTCTTATCATTCACACAACATCCACGCACATTCAAACATCCCGCTTTAACAGTTTTCTTCTTTTTCTATTTAGTAAGCTATATGGGAAAAGGGGTTACCAGCCCATTGTTCCTGGCAAATTATATTGGTCACAAAATAGTTTATGGTCTATATTTGAATACAAAGCAGATTTCTAGTCATATGTTGTGGACAGAGGCAGACTGGGTCTTAAAACCAGCTAGGGCATCTGTCACCTATCAGATCGGCTGAGGGCCAGAGGCATGTTTTCATTACTCAGCTAAGTCATGTTCAATCTTTGTGCAGCAGCTGTGACTTCAGTTAATCATGACATTTTTTCAGCCCCCCCCCCCCCCTTTTTTTTTTAACCCAGCCCAGTGGCCCACCGGGCATTGACCAGATGCCCCTATGGCCAGTCTGCCTCTGGTCATTGACCTGTAATAATGAATTTTATAATTATTATATAAGCCTTATAATACAGATATATACATATTAGACCACAAACTATGAAAACAATAGGCATTTATAAAAATCCACAGTTTTTCAGAGATTCAGTGGACTTGTTGAACAGACCCCAGTTTGAATCTTGGAAAAAACTTGTGGATGTGAGACTATATATTATAATACACAAGGGATTTTCCTGTGAATAAATTTAATGCATTTAAATATAATACAAGCAATTACTGAGGCAGTATTACATCAGCTTATAAGCACAGTACTTAATATTATTTTGCTTCTTACCATACAAAGGATTTACTTTGTATTTTGGTTTAAGATGCTCTCTGGTTTTATTGCACCTGCATTTTTAAGCATGAGCACAACTTTCACCAATTTTTGATATGTTGACTTAAGTTCTTACTTTCCCTTTTGTGTGTGTTTGGAAAGCATAGAAATGTTTGAGTCACAAAACGTACTTGTTGAAGCAGTGTGCAGGTTAGTTCCAACATTAGTTGCACATCTTGTCAAACTTAATTGAAAATTTCTGATGATCTATCATGAATTAGTGATAATTTGAGAAGAGCATAAATCAACAATTATTTTTTACTATAATAATGCAAATGCAATATAAAAAGTTGGATATTATAACAGAATATAGATGACCTGACTGATGTGGATGGATTATATATACATTTCACAATGAAACTCTTGGAAAACATTGATTCACATTCTTACACTAGTCTTCAGATACATCTCATTTATGATATATTTATGCAATGTAACTATGAATTAACATTTATATGCAATTTGTATTTATTGATTTGACTATGAATGTATTTTTTGATACTTTCATATCAGTAGGTTTATATTTAAGTCATGATGTGTGGCAAGATTGTCACTCCTGACATTCTGATTTCATGTTAACATAGTAGGAAATATACTGTAATCCTTTTGGGTTAAGCATTAAAATGTTTAGAGATAAAAATGATATGTATATGTCAGAATTTATAAGAGTAGATTTGTGTTATATTTGCTTGGTAAACTGATAATAAAAAAAAAAAAATTCATTGCCTCAACACGAAATTCTACTTTTGTTGTACAGGTTGTTTGTGACTGACCAACATACTAGTAGTTAAAGATCAATTTTAAGACTTGAGGTACCGTATTTTCTGGCACATGAGACACAAGTGTGGGCTGCTTGCCGGCACAACGTTTCCAAGCAGTTGTTATGTATTATTATTATTACAATCAAAATTAAGTGCTAAACCACTGGGGGGTCATACAGTGCTGCAAGTTATGTAATATTAGTAAATGACTGCTAAAGCATAACCCAAAGCCTACCTTTGATAGTGACCTTGAGCATGTAAGGCACAGGATGATTTTCCAAGACTTTCTAAGGAAAAAAAAGCTCACCTTATATGCTGGAAAATATGGTATTTGTTTGGTGTTGACCAGGTGTTAATGACTCTGGGTAAGAAAAAGTAATGTCATATATTATATAAAGCTTTGTTTTGATTTTACTTACAAGTGCACCTGAAAAAAAATTTACCATTTATAATATATTTTCATATATGAGATGAAATTCTGAGTCTTAAAATACTTGCTTAATTCAAAGATAATTTTAAGTGAGGTCACTTTCTGTGTTATTTGATGCAGCTGTCAGGTATAGGTTAGGTTATGGTTCTGTACGGGGTTTTGCAGACCTAAAACAAAGCAAGTTTATTTTCCAAATGTGTTTTTATATCCTGGGTTTGCTAGTCTCATCAGCTATATGTAACTTCAGAAATGTTTATAAGTCTCTCATTTTAGAAAATATTTTATATTCTAAAACAAAAGGAAATGTTTTTTCGTACTTGACAACTGTACTTAGCAGTATGATAAGACTTATATTTTAGTACAGACCAAGGATGTGGAGTCAGAATCGGAGTTAGAAGCAATTCTTGGGTTACTGAAGTCGGTAAAATGTAATTAAAGGAGTCAGAGTCGGATGTGCCATAAATAAAGGAGTCAGAGTTGAAGGTGTGGTGACTCCACAGCCCTGGTACATGCTATAAAAAGTCAAACCTCAATGAAAGCCCCACCTTTGATCACATTGACTTTTCAACAGACTATTGCACCAAGATCCTTACAGGTTTAATGCTAAAATTGACTATATTATTATTAGAGGTGGGGAAATATCTGGATAAAACTGAGAATTATGGATTGAAATTTTCAAATCGGCAAACTGCATAGTACGTATCACCAGGGCTGGATTAAGAAGTCTCCGGGCCCTAGGCTATTCAGATTGGCGGTGCCCCTTTGAGTTACGGGTAAGCGAAGCGACCCCTTCCAGCTTGGGGGGGGGGTCGGTGTGAGCCTGTTTAAGGTCTAATTAAATGCATTCTGGCTATTTAGATTAAATTTAATGGGGAAAGTACATCAAGACAACCGAAACCATTTACCAACAGCCATTATAACTATCTTGTTAAATCATGCATTTTAAAGAGAATAAACTCAAGACAGCATAGTATTACTAGATTAGGCTATTAAAGTAGTGACATCATGTACCTATTATATTCAGCATAACCACTACAGCACTATTATTCCCTTTATAAATCACTGACCATTATTGTTATCATTGCATCATGCATAAGACTATCAAATCATATAAACTACAGAAAATTGGAGAGGAATCTCCCATACTCACCCATTAGCGGGAAAACACAGCTGTTCTGATGTAAACAAAGGCGTGTTGAGTGTTGCCATCTATGGTTAGGTTTATTTTTATTTTATTTCATTATTTATTTTTGTTTTGATTTTTTTTTTTTTCAACAAGTCGGCCGTCTCCCACCGAGACAGGGTGACCCAAAAAAAGAAAATCCCCAAAAAGAAAATACTTTCATCATTCAACACTTTCACCACACTCGCACATTATCACTGTTTTTGCAGAGGTGCTCAGAATACAACAGTCTAGAAGCATACACACATAAAGATACACAACATATCCCTCCAAACTGCCAATATCCCAAACCCCTCCTTTAAAGTGCAGGCATTGTACTTCCCATTTCCAGGACTCAAGTCCGACTATATGAAAATAACCGGTTTCCCTGAATCCCTTCACTAAATATTACCCTGCTCACACCCCAAACAGATCGTCAGGTCCCAAGTACCTTTTCGTCTCCATTCACTCCTATCTAACACGCACACGCACGCTTGCGGGAAGTCCAAGCCCCTTACCCACAAAACCTCCTTTACCCCCTCTCTCCAACCCTTTTGAGGACGACCCCTACCCCCCCTTTCCTTCCCCTATAGATTTATATGCTTTCCATGTCATTCTACTTTGATCCATTCTCTCTAAATGACCAAACCACCTCAACAACCCCTCTTCTTCCCCTCTGACTAATACTTTTATTAACTCCACACCTTCTCCTAATTTCCACCTCCGAATTTTCTGCATAATATTTACACCACACATTGCCCTTAAACAGGACATCTCCACTGCCTCCAACCGTCTCCTCGCTGCTGCATTTACCACCCAAACTTCACACCCATATAAGAGGTTGGTACTACTATACTTTCATACATTCCCTTCTTTGCCTCCATAGATAACGTTTTTTGACTCCACATATACCCCAAAAGCACCACTCACCTTTTTTTTCCCCCATCAATTCTATGATTAACCTCATCCTTCATAAATCCATCCGCCGACACGTCAACTCCCAAGTTTCATGTATCTGAAAACATTCACTTCTTCCATACTCCTCCTCCCCCAAATTTGATATCCAATTTTTCTTTATCTAAATCATTTGACACCCTCATCACCTTACTCTTTTCTATGTTCACTTTCAACTTTCTACCTTTACACACTTCCCAAACTCATCCACTAACCTTTGCAATTTTTCTTTAGAATCTCCCAAAGCACAGTATCATCAGCAAAAAGTAACTGTGTCAATTCCCATTTTGAATTTGATTCCCCCTAATTTAATCCCACCCCTCTCCCAAACACCCTAGCATTACTTCCTTTACAAAACCCCCTCTATAAATATATTAAACAACCATGGTGACATTACACATCCCTTCTAAGCCCTACTTTTCCCGGAAGTGTCTCCCTCTCTTCTAAAACCCCCCAACCCTGACCCACTACCCTCAAAAAAACCTTTACAGCATTAAAACTTACCACCTTTTCCCAATACTTGCAACTCTGCCACTTTGCTCCTCTTCCACTCATCTATGCCTTTTCAAATCAAAAAGCAAAAAAAACTTCCCTATTTTATCAAAATATTTTCAAAAATTTTGCTTCAATGTAAACACCGATTACACACCCCCCAACCCCTCTATAACCCCCTTTTCCATCCGCAATCCCATTCGTTTTACCTCAAAATTTTTTAAATTATAACCTCCGTACACTTTTCCGGGTAATCAGTAAGTTTTTCCTCATAATTTTTTACATCTTTTTTGCCCCCTTTTCCCTTTATAAAAAGGGACTATACATGCTCTCTCCAACCCCTTGTCCTTCCCCCCTTTTTCTTTTTTTATTAAACAAAAGAACCAACCACTCCAACACAAAATTTCCCCCCTGTTTTTAAACTTTTTGTCTACCCCCATCTTTCCAGCTGCTTTACCCCCTTTCTTTTTACGAAATGCCTCACTCCTCCCCCAACTTACATTCTGCTCTTCTTCACTCCTAAAAGAGGTAAAACCCCCCTGACCAGTCCCTGAAATTACTCCCCCTTTTTTTTCCCTTTAAAATTTTAAAAGTTCCTCAAAAATTCCCCCATCTCCCCAATACCCCCCCCCATCAAAAACCCCCTACCTTTTTTTAACTGACAAATCCTATTTTCCCAGGGTTTTTTAACTTGTTTAAAAAACCACTCCCAAAAATTTTTTTTTATTTTCATTTAAAAATTTTTTGACAGTGCCCTCCCCCTCTATCATCTGCCTCCTTTTGCCTCTCTCACCACTCCTACCTTTTTTTTACTTCCAAATTTTCTCTTCCTTTTAACCTTCTGCTTTGTAAAAACCCTCAAAGCTACCCTTTTTTTCTTTTACACACCCTTTATTCATCATTTCCCCCAATCACTTCCCCTTTTTCCCCCCCCACCCTCCTAACCACAAACTTTTGCCCACATTCTAATACGCATTTTTAAAAATTTCCAACCTCTCAACCCCCCCCCTACTCATCTTTCACTAGCCCCCCTTTTTGCCAATGTCGCTTATATCTCACCCGAACTTCCTCCTCCCCCCGTTTTTCCTTTCACTCCCCCTTACTTGTTGTTGCCACCTTCTCTTTTCCCATCTACCTCTTACTCTAACTGTAGCTACAACTAAATAATGATCCGATATATCAGTTGCCCCTCTATAAACATGTACATCCTGGAGCCTACCCATCAACCTTTTATCCACCAATACATAATCTAATAAACTACTTTCATTACGTGCTACATCATACCTTGTATATTTATTTATCCTCTTTTTCATAAAATATGTATTACTTATTACCAAATTTCTTTCTACACATAGCTCAATTAAAGGCTCCCCATTTACATTTACCCCTGGCACCCCAAATTTACCTACTACTCCCTCCATAACATTTATACCCACTTTAGCATTGAAATCCCCAACCACCATTACTCTCACACTTGATTCAAAACTCCCCACGCATTCACTCAACATTTCCCAAAATCTCTCTCTCTCCTCTACACTTCTCTCTTCTCCAGGTGCATACACGCTTATTATAACCCACTTTTCACATCCAATCTTTATTTTACTCCACATAATCCTTGAATTAATACATTTATAGTCCCTCTTTTCCTGCCATAGCTTATCCTTCAACATTATTGCTACTCCTTCTTTAGCTCTAACTCTATTTGAAACCCCTGACCTAATCCCATTGTTTTGATTAATTTTTAAAAATCAATTTTACTCTCCAAACACTTGAACTTTTTAGGTAGGGACCCCTTTGCACTTGCACCATGTGCGCAGTCTTGGATGAGCCCCTGAACCCCTTGGACCGTGGGGCCCCCCAAATGCGCGGGGCCCTAGGCAAATGCCTAGTTTGCCTATGCGGTAATCCGGCCCTGCGTATCACTGAGTATTTTGATACAGTATTTTTTTTTCCAACAAGCCGGCCGTCTCCCACCAAGGCAGGGTGACCTAAAAAGAAAGAAAATCCCCAAAAAGAAAATACTTTCATCATCATTCAACACTTTCACCTCACTCACACATAATCACTGTTTCTGCAGAGGTGCCCAGAATACAACAGTTTAGAAGTATACATGTATAAAAATAGACACAACATATCCCTCCAAACTGCCAATATCCCAAACACCTCCTTTAGAGTGCAGGCACTGTACTTCCCATTTCTAGGACTCAAGTCCAGTTACGTATATGAAATAACAGGTTTCCTTGAATCCCTTCACTAAATATTACCCTGCTCAAACTCCAACAGCTCGTCAGGTCCCAAGTACCATTTGTCTCCATTCACTCCTATCTAACATGCTCACGCACGCTTGCTAGTAGTCCAGACCCCACGCCCACACCTCCTTTACCCCCTCCCTCCAACCTTTTCGAGGACGACCCCTACCCCGCCTTCCTTCCCATACAGATTTAAACGTTCTCCATGTCATTCTACTTTTATCCATTCTCTCTAAATGACCAAACCACCTCAACAAACCCTCTTCAGCCCTCTGACTAATACTTTTATTAACTGCACACCTTCTCCTAATTTCCACACTCTGAATTTTCTGCATAAT